TATGATCAGAGGCTCCAGAATCAATGATCCTGTAGTAGAATTTAAACAAGAAAGGGCATTAAGTGCACTATCTGTTTGTGCAAGAGAAACACTAGGATTACCAGATAAGGAATTAAATTTCAGCAGTTTCAGAAGGTGATCCATCTACTTCTTGCTTAAGAGACTTGTCTCAACTTCATTGGCAGTAGGAACCGCACGCCTATTTTTGTCACCAGGTTTGCTACTCTTCCAATTCGCTAGTTTTCCGTGGATTTTCCAGCAATTCTCCCGAGTATGGCACAGTTTGTTACAGAAGTCGCACCAGACCCGTGGCTTCTCTTCATGTTTTTGCTGAAAATTGACTGCTTTATTAGCAGCAGTCTCGGCAACAAGATGGGTAGAACTCTCAACAGGCCCGCTGGTAATCTTCTTCCCTAACATTACATGTCTGCAGCTCTCTTTTCTTTGAACCTCAGCAAACACCTCACCAATTGAAGGAAGTGGAGTCCTGCCAATGATCCGTCCCCGTACTTCATCAAATTCCACGTTGAGCCCAACAAGGAATTTGTAAATACAATGAGCCTCCACGGTCCGTTTATAGTGATTGGCATCTTCAGTGGATTTTCATTCATAATCATTGAACAGATCCATGTCCTGCCAAAGGCGCTTAAATGAATTGACATACTTGGTGACTGAGTCTTCTCCCTGCCGAATCTCACCAAGTTTTAGAGTCAATTCCTAGATTTGAGATTGATTTCTCAAATCAGAGTACATCTGATTCACGTTGTCCCAAAGCTCCTTGGCCGTGGAATAGCACATATAGTTGGAGCTAATATCCTCGTCCATGGAGTTCACGAGCCAAGTCATCACCTTTGAATTTTCTGCATCCCAGGTCACGTACGTTGGGTCCTCTGATGCTGGTGCCTTCTTGTCTCGGTACCCAATCTTTCCCCGCCGTCTGATGTACATCCGAACGGACTGGGACCACCGTAAATAATTATCACCATTAAGGCGAATATTGGTGATCTTCGAGTGAGAATTGATATTGGGGGCTTGGGTTACAGGATTAGTTGGCTGGGTTGTGACAGGCGAGGTTGACATGGAGGAAACGTCAGACATGGCTGATCAGCGAAGAAATTGTGCAGAAAAGAAAATTAGGGGTATTTTTTTTTTTTTTTTTTCTTAGGGTGCTCTGATACCATATAAACTTGAAAGGGAAATAAATATGGAATAAACCTTTTCTCTGTATTAGCTCACCATATTTACAAGTTTACACGGGTTATCTTTATAGGAGAGAATACAAGCACAAAATCAGAAAACTGATTACAATAGCTAGCTGGCCTAATTAATAATTTCATAATTTACAGCAAATATCCACCAAATATTATATTTACAGCTAATAATATTTGGTAGTATTACTACCGAATTTTTCTTTTTCAACATATATATATAAACATAAATATTCCAACAATTTCCAAATAAAGCTCAGTCCGGATACGTTTGGAAGTCATTGAAATGGAGAACCATTTAAAAAGGGCTGATTAGCCATGATTAGATCATATTCTTTAGTTCATCTTGGCATATATAGATAATTCTAGTCTATATCTGTACTGAAGGTTCAAAATTTTTTGGCTTACCTTTTACGTCTACTTGGAAGCATTTCAAATACAATGGAGATGCAAAAATATTAAGAACGGCTTGGAAATATAAAGTAAATCTAAAACGCCGTCATTAGGTGTTGGTCTTGCCTACGTGGGTTGCCAAGAGGAGAAGGTTGGAGAGACATTTGACATTTGACATTATTTAGCGCAAAGTAGGTGTTGTCGGATCCGAACATGTGCCATCATGCTTGTTGATCCAAGCTTTTACATTGCATCTAGCAATAACTCCTAAAATTTAATTAAAAATATATTAGTGAAAAAGATAAACCAAATAATTGATTGTTTAAATATGTTGGAGGCCTTTATATTGTGGTCCAACTCTCCCGTTATTTACCAAATGCGTATGATTTGCAGGTGCTTTCATGCATTAGTTGGCATTTGTCTCGACTAAAAATAGGTTAGGAAAACCCTAGCATTACCCTAAGAAAAGAAAAACAAAGAAAGAAAATTCAAGCTTTTGCATCCATCCATTCAAAATCTAAAAGTATATTAATGTGATTAAGTCATCAAAATAATGTCAAGCACTTCTTTACTAGTAAAAGACAAGAACAAAAGATTCATCATTATCTTTGCCTTTATTCCATATGGATGGGGTCGGGGACATGAATTATCTTTTTTCGTTCTTTTCTATTATACTCCATTGTCTGCCCTTAGATTAAATTTTTGTAAAGTAATTTTTAATTCGTTCATCCCATTTAATTTTTGTCTGCCTCTTTGTCACTTACTTTCTAGACAAACAACTCTTCCTTGTCTAAAAGTAGTATTTTTGGGTGTCTTTTTTTTTTCTTTTTCTTTTTTTTCCTCCATATGAGCTTACTTTTTTTAATTTTATCATTAATAGGAATTATTCCTAGTTTTTCCCTTACACGTTTATTAGTAATCTTATCTCTTCTATCACACCTATCATCCATCATAACATCCTTATTTCTGCTACATGATTGAACCCTTGACAAGGGTTATGCCCTCATGTGTTTGGTGGTGCTTATTGTTAGAAAGGAATAGGAGATCTTTTCAAGGAAAGGAGACTCCTATCGGGACAATTAAGTTCTCTATTATTAGCAATCTTTTTGTTGGGTTTTGGGGAGAAATTGTAATTCTATAGAGGAAATTGTTGATAATTTGGGCTCGTTGAGTGTTTAGAGGCCCCATTTGGCCTTGTGTATCTTTTGTGGGATGCGTCCCCCTTTTGGGTGCTATAATACAATCCTACATATTAAAAAAAAAAAAAAAAAAAAAAAAAATAAGTTTGAACCCTTGACTTTCTACTTTGGAAAGTGAGAAACTGTCACTAAGTTACAACCCTTGGTCTACATCATAAAGTATAACTGGCCTAATAACTGTACTATAAAATTTTACTTTTAATTTATTTGATGTGTTTGTCACATAGGATACAACTAGCTTACCTCCATTTTGTCAAACCTGCTCCAATTCTACTTACTACATCATATTCTATCTCCACATCTTGTAAAATTGACCCTAAATGACGAAATTAGTTAATTAGTTATTTTGAGTAACTCTTTGGTCTTGAAGTGTAATATTTATATTGTTATCTTTTGCTACTTTATCAAATTTACATTCCATATACTTTTAATAATTTTTTTAGTCATTTCTTTTCTAATTTTGTTGCTAAGGTTTCCTTACAAGTGTCAAATAAAATGACGTCATCAACAAGTAACACATACCATGGAATGTCTTTTGGATATCTTTCATTATTTCATCTGACACAATCGTAAATAGGTATTGTCTTCAAACAGATCCTTGGTGTAATCCTACCTTTGTAGAGAATTCACTACTTTCTTCACATGTCGTATGAACAGTCAATGTCTATCTATACATATCCTGAATAAGATTTTTAAGTTATATAGAGACTTGTTTTCTTTGCAGAACCGATCAAATTTATGTTCTTCGGCATTCTAGCATATGCCTTCTTTAAATTTATGAAAACCATGTGTATATCTTTTTGTTTACTCTTACAATCTCTGATCAATTTTCTTATTAAGTATATGGCTTCCATAGTGAATCTACTTAGTATAAATCTGAATTCGTTATCAGAATCGTCAGATACTGAGGTCTCATTCCTTAATCTTTGTTCGATTATTCTCTCCCACAGTTTCATTGTGCGACTCATTAATTTATTTCCTCTATAACTTTCACAATTTTGTTATATATATATATATTTTATATCCTCCATTTCTTGTGGCATTCTTTCTTTTAAAATTTTGTTAAACAAGTTTGTTAAACACTCAACTCCCATCCTTTCTAAAATTCTCCTTGCCTCTCTATAGGTATGTTATCAGGTCCTACAACTTTATTATTACTCATTTTCTAAAGTGTGTCCTGTACTTCTTTATTATTAATCTCATTTGCCATTCCTGTGTAAGGTTTGTTACTTATGACTTCTTCTCTAGTATATTCCTCATTTAGTAATTGTTGAAAGTAATTTTTTCATTTTTCATATAGATCTTTTTCTTTAACTAATATTGTTTGATTTATATCCTTAATATACCTTATTTGATCCATATCTCTAGTCAATTTCTCTATATTTTTTGCTAATTTGTAAACAGTCAGTTTCATCCTCTTTTGTTCTTAATTTTTTATATAGGTCAATTAATGCATTTTATTTAGCTTTAGCAACCATCTTTTTTGCTTCATATAAAATATTCTAGAGCAAATTTTCTCATGCATTATTAAACTATTATAATCAAATTCGACTTGGTACAAATATATAATATACATGAAATAGACATTTTAATATGACTAACAAGTAAAATGACAATTTAAAGGAATTAGCAAGCTAAGTGTTACCGTCACTGCTTTTTTATAAGAGGCTGTCAACAATGACAAAAGTTTTGATGTTATGTATGTGTCGGTCATTTCCTAGTATAATTCTACGAAAACAACATTTTCAGAGGGGAAAGGTTGAAAGGTTTTGGTAGTTTGATGGAAACGAAATAAATGTTAATTCTTATTCCCCTCTATAAACCAGTACTTGATTGCTTGGTCTAGACTCTAAAGTTTTTTGTCATGTTTTCTGTACTTGTGAGGAACTCAATTTTCCAATATGAGTATCCCTTTTATCATGTCTTATTAATGTTATGTTTTATTTCTTCTTCTTATTCTTTAATTTCTATTTTTCTTTCTTTCTTTCTACTTCTTGTCGAGGTGCGATTATAAATCTGTAAGTTTCCACTAATAATTAAAGCAAAAGGTAAAATGGACTACTTCATAGGATTTACAGAATTATAGATCAAGGGGGAGATTTTCTCCATTTACTTGATGTTAATCTTGGAAATCTTGTACATCTTTTGATTTGATTATCGTTTATTAGGGATGATTCCAACTCTGATTTGCCTTTCTTAGGTTGGCGGTTGTAGCCATGTCTGGGCTGGCAGCAGAAGGTCTGGAATATGATAAAGTGGTTGGTCAATCTGCTGATCTTTTCACCCTACAGGTTAGTAATATCATCATCTGAAAGGCTAAAGTCCACATTTTTCTGGATCTTCAATGAACTATAATCGAAAGTTATTTCTCTCTCAGCGATTTATAAACAGGAGCAAACCACAGATTAGCAAAGAACAACAACAAAATCTTACTAGATGGGCGGTAAGTTGAATCTACAACCCGCGTGCATGGCTGCTTATGTTTGCATGGTTGATATTCTTTTAGTTGTTTTGCATCAGAAATTTTACTTATAGCCAATCTCTTTTAAGGTTAGGAACTTCACTTGAACCTTCTTGAATTTCAATGATGCTTTTATGTGTGTGTACAAGCAACCACCAAAGCCTTTTACCAAGTATTTGGGGGTAGGCTTCATGGATTCTATGTTTTCATTTTGCCTTATCCTAAGTCGCACCGCATGTTATCATATCATTATTTACTAAATCTATTGACGTTAACTTTGGTATTTTCCCCTAGAATTACCCTCAATGTAGACTATATTACTCTTCCTAATTGGGGCACTTAAAAAGTGTTCTTTGTACATTTTCAAATTATCTTAAATCGATTTTCTCTCCAATTCATGCTACTCCAACCATCTCACAAATGTGATCATTTCTTATTCTTTTTTAGTCTTACCGCACAGCCATCTCAATATTTGTATATTTCTGCTACACATGCCTATATTAAGTAACAAATTCCCTAAACTGCTATTTTAGTCTTCCCAAAATGCCCTTATACCATTTTACATATAAACACCATTTCCCTCTCTTTTGGTTAGGGTACTTCGGTCATTTTACATTTATTTTATTTTTTACCTTTTTTATTTTCAAATACATAAGGGCACTTTAATCTTTTAAAAATACCCTATTTGCATACCATATGGGTGTTTATCGCTCACAGCTAACAACCATACAGTGTTTCCTAACTGCCCAACATTTTCTTTTGCGTACCATACGTTGTTTTGTAACTGCCCAACATTCTGCCGATAAAGTCAACTGCTTACTGGCTTTATCAATGTGTGTGGTATGTATATGTATATATAGTAACTATTGTACTAGTACAAATGACAAAATTTCCTTTACAACACTATTCTCTGGGGAAAATGATGCAGGTTTTGTTTGCTGCATCCCTCCTGAAAAATAACAAGGTAATTCATGAGGCCCTAATAGCAGCAATGTCGAAGAAGGCAACTGTAGTAGAGTGCATAGAAGCAATTGAGAATGCTGCATAGCACAAAATGATTTATTTAAATTGTAATTCTTTTTATTTAACTTAGCCTCCATAACTTCTTCTTTCTTTTTTTTTTTTTTTTTGTTGGCAATAATGACATAAATTATATTCTGTGGGTTACATTGCTGCATATTCGTGTAGAAAAGTATAAAAGATTACGTAAAATTGTATTTAGAAATTTCCATGACGTCTCATATGGGTGGTAGATTTTTGCTCTTTTGTTAATTGGTTATATTTATGTGTTTCAATATTTTATTTAGTACAATGGATTAAAAACAAAATGCTAGAGGACAAAAAATGCTCTCAATATCACACCAAATAAAATAAAAAAAATAAAAAAAAAGGAAATATATCATCTATGTGAATTCAAGAGGGGAAAAAAAAATTATACTTAACATTTGACCATCAGTGAATTATTTTCTCTATTATTATTTTTTTCCGCTCTTAGTAAGTTTTCAGTCTATATATACAAGTTGCTTTTTTCTCATTTTTTTAGGTTTTATTAAGAATAATAAAAAGTAATGATGAGAGTGCTCTCACTAAAACTTTGCATCTTTATAATTGTTGAATTGCGTCTTTATTAAGACTTATATTTTGAAGAAAAATATATCATACGAGTAATAATTTTATGCTTTTTAAAATTTTAATAATATTTTACTAGTAAGATGTTATTTAATGAGACCAAAGTTGAACCTTTGTTGGTTCCCTACTTTATTTATTCTAGGTGGTTATAATTACCTGGTGCATTTACTCGATTCCTCAAAACTTATAATTAAACAAAAATCGCCTATATATTTAAAACTTTATATATACATTATATGTTTGTAATCATCATGAACTTTTTTTTAAAAAAGACATTCATGAATTTGTTTTCTTTAGAATTTGTGCATGATATTTATTATACTTAAAACCAATTCTTATAATTTTTTTTGCATAGGAATTATCTAACGCGATGCTAATCTATGATCAACCCAACTTTCAACTGATTGTTCCAACTCAAACGCATTTTAAAATTTTGAACAGTTGAAGAGCAAACTGTGCACCGTGGATGAATTGTTATCCTTATGAAATGAGATAAATATACGATGATATGTGAAATCCAATTGTGTGGGGTGAATGATTCGCAAAAATGAAATATTTATGGAAAGGATTATAGAATTTACATGCAAATCATTCAATATATATATATATTGTATTTACACTAGTTTTGCATGATTAGTGATTATAAATTTAGGCGACTCATATATTACATCTTACATATATTTTGTGAAATTTATTTGTACTCAAATTATTTGACAAAGTTTAATATATTGGAGAAAAGTAAAATAAAAATCTGTCTCATAAAAATCTATTTAAGTTGTAGATATTATGCAGTTTATGGACTTTCTATCTCAGTTGTGGGTGATTACAACGATTCTGAAACTTTGTAGTTATCGAGTTAATATATATATATATATTTAAAATCAAACTTGGAGTAATTATCAAATGGCAATGAGATTGTTTATCATTTGTTTTGATGATTTATTGATAAGAAGTCCATTTATAAAGATAATTTATTTTCAAAATTTTGTATTTTTTATTTTTTTTGGTCCATTTATAAAGATAATTTATTTTCAAATTTATTTATTTATATTTCTCTCTAAATTTTAAGAAATAGGAAGAGTTTGGAATAGTTAAGGAAAAGTGTTTATATATTTATTGCAATAAATAATATTATAAAAAATAAAAAATGCATTAAATAATCAATCCCTATGTAGCAAGTACATCGGATACGATATAACATAGATAGGTCGACACGTCAAATTTTAAAAAAGTAGAACACGAGTACAACGTGGACATGGCTACATAATAATATAAAATTTTATTATTATAAACTCCACCGAGGCTTGAAACCCTGACCTCCCTTTAAAATGTAGGAGTCCGGTCCAGTTAGGCCACTTACCTGTTTTTATACTAAGAGTTGCTCTAAAGTGAATTAGAAAATGAAATTATATCATTATTGTAATAATTTTTATATCATATTGTTGGCACATAAAAGTGGCAGGCCAATATTTGGCCACTTCAATGATGACGTGGTGTAATAAAATAGCATAAGTGGACTAAATCATGGTCTGAACAATAAGTTGACATATGTCAAACTTGGAAAGGAAAGAGATTTAAATACGCTGGAGACATTTGGCAGATCAGGAAAGGTAAATATGGAAGGATAGTGACAGCTGGCTATCAAGACGTGGTTTGAATCATCTCCTGAAAACAAGGATGACGTGGGCTAGAGAAGTTTGTAATATTCTAAACTTCTATAAACTGATAGAAGTCCCTACCTTTAAGGAGTCTAAGTCAATACATGGTTCAAGAAGGTACTTCCTAAAAATTAGGGATGAGGAGATCGTGGATTATACCGAATCTACTTCAAAAGGGATAAGCTGAAGCGGTTAAAATCACGTAATATATATATATATATATATATATATTCAGATAAATAGTTTAAAGAACGTGGGACACATGGCGACAACAGAGGAAACTCATAGATCGTAGGTATGGAAGTTGAAATTTGATAGCCGAGTATGAGGCAAGTGTTTTGTAAGGAAGGAGTGGGCAGTTACTAAATAGGACATGGGTCCTTTTTTGTAAGGCTTTAATGCCTATAAATAGTTTTCTTAGGGCTATATTGCAAACTCTCTCAACGACATCAGTCAACATTCAATATTTTGTATTTCAATTCAAGTAATTTCAATACAAGTCTTTTCAATTCCTTTACATTCATGCACTTACTTTCAGTATTGCATTTCAATTCACTAGATAACATTGTAGTCTTAACTAAAAGTCCTTTCATCGAAGGCAAATCCGAAACCTCACAATCACTTGATCATTCCAAAAGGATCTTCATTTTCGTTTGACCTCTCTGAATCTTCCGAGATTCTGGCACACCTGCACGTTCCAAGTGTCCCAGTTTTGTGGAAACATTAATTGGCACGCTCGGCGGGACCCCTGGTAGAGATTGCAATGCTACTAAGATCAAAGTCGACTCGTCAAACTACAACTGGTGATGAAGAACTAGAAGAAGAAGTTCAGCCAGATCAGGTTAGAAGTTCTAATCCTGGTCTTGAAGAATCAGGTACACGTGCTGAGATGCAATCACTGGTTGCACCATTGGCTGAAGCATTGGGTAGGATAACTGGTCACCTTGATGACATGGATTATAAATTCTCTCAGAATATCTCTCAACTATCAGCCGTTGTTTATAATCAACCGGCTCAGGCTAGAAATTCAAATGCTCAAGAATCGGTACCTGAGCCGATTCCTCAACCTCCACCAATAGTGACAGTTCAGCCAGTTCCTGTAGTGAGTCTTCCACAAAATCCACCAGTAACTTGGTTAGAACTTCCACTATTTCCTCAGCCACAAGTACAGTAGCCATTTCCACAACAGCAGTACCAGCCACCTCCAAGGCCATAAGTATATCCTCCAAATTTCCCTGGAAGAGATTATCTTGACTCGGGGGGCAATTATGGAAGATGGAGGAATAACCCACCATTCCCACCAGTGCCATCACCTGTGGTGCCCGGGGGGGCAACCAATGGCCAATCAACTAGGTTGGCCAGAGAATAATGAACCACCAGCGGCTAACCAGTAGCCAGGAATTCATCAACCGGCCCAACCAATTTTTCTGGATAGAGGCCAGTTGACGGAGTTGATAGACTAGGAATTTGGTTCAGCTGCCAGAAGAGTAAGCCGACCGGCTTATAGGAAGCCATACCCGGAAGTAGTTGATGAATTTGAATTCCCTAGAGGGTATAAAGTTCCAGATTTTGTAACTTTCAATGGGGAAGGTAACCAATCTACCGTAGAACGCATTGACAGGTTCACTATTCAATGTGGGGAAGCAGGAGCAAGTCAGTGGTTGAAATTGAGGCTTTTCCCAAACTCCCTCACGGCATCAGCCTGCTCTTGGTATATTCACTTACCACCAGATTCTGTTCATACTTGGCAGCAGATGGAAGAGCTCTTCCATACGCAGTTCTACCGAACAGAGTCAGAGGCAACTTTGGCTGATATATCTCGGCTAAGCCAGATGGCCAATGAATCTGTGGAAACGTTTATTGCTAGGTTCAAAAGGGCTAAATTGAAATGTCGTGTATCTCTTCCAGAAAAGAGTATGTTAGGCTAGCCCTTAATGGCCTGGACTTTGAACTTCGGAAGAGATTCGAAGGAATGGAGTTCAGAGACTTAATCGAGTTGGCTAATAGGGCCAGCGGATTTGAGTCTATACTCAAAGAAGAAAAAGATAGAAAGAATTCCTCCAAAGGGACTTATTACAGAGATCCTAACTATGAAGATGATTTGGAAGTTAATGTGGTAGATGTCCATATCAAGAAGCCATATGTATGCAAAGTCTTGGTCAAATCAAAATCTTCCACAAGTGGCGGACAAACATCTACTTCTTCGGCCAAAAAATGAATGGCTGATTCTGGAAAAGTTTACACTTTTGATCTGTCGAAAACAAAACAAATATTTGATCACCTGATGGCCGATAAGCAAATATCATTGCCTAAGGACATATTATTCCTACGGTTGCTGAGTTGAAAGGAAAAGAATTCTGTAAGTACCATAATTCTTGGAATCATGGTACCAATAATTGTTTTGTATTTTGAAATGTTTTGTAGAAAGCCATAGATGAAGGGACGTTGAAATTCTTAGAAAAGAAACCGGAAGTAATGGAAGTGGACAGTGACCCATTTCCTACTATTGTTACTAGTAATATGATTAGCCTTGCTCCAAGGATTCCAAAGAAGAAGGCTGATAGTGGAGGTGAGAAGCAGATTTTGGAAGTTCCACTCAAGACAGAAGCAAAATCTTTCAGTCGTAAGGTAATAGCAAATTTGGAAAATAAATTAAAAGAAGCTCAGATTGCTCTTATTAATCATGGCTGATGCCCAGAGTGTCAGGCCATGATAATAGAAAGCACCACCATGATCATAGAATGGATTCTTATTCTTTTAGAAGGGATATTCATGATCAGCTGATGGATGTACGGTCGAATCAGGAACGGCTGAAATAATTTACGGGGATACATTAAGGCCAGCATGCTTATGCTTTTAAAAGAAGACCATAGATTCAGTCTGAGGTTTGGGTACAAAAAGGAGACGTTTCACACAAATTCTGGATGGCGAGACCACTTATT